GATTATTAGTCAGCTTTGTTCCAAAAATCTGCAGAATGATGAATAATCGATTTTCAAGTGGATAATCGATTATCTATCGTCTTCTACCTCGAGCCAATTTGCGGAAATGTCATTTTACTTATCAAAACTTCAATTAAAGTATATAAAAAGGTTCTCCAAGGTTCATAGATCATTTTGGTACCATTAATTTGAAGTTTTAACAACAATTTCAAGGTTTATGATTCTTGGTTCTTCAAACATGTCAAACACATAACTCAACCAAATGACCATTTATGAACGTAGAAACGACCTATATGAACATTCTAGTTATTAGATATATCTACGGGCTTACCTCAAAGTAAAATGGAGGTTTTGTAGGTTTTCCGGCGAAACTTCCGGCGACCAAAGCTCTCAACTCCGGCGACCTCTCTCTGAAATGGAAGCACCAGCAGGTTCTCCTCACCAGGGCAGCAGTTTAGGAAGAGATTTGGGATGATTTGGTAGAGAATTGAGAGAATTAGGATTTCTTAAATAGAGGAAGGAAGGAGAAGAAGACATGGATGAAATATTCTTGAGTCACCCAAATCGGCTAGTGCGCCGATTAAACAGTAAGCGCCGATTGGAGTGTAGTCCCTGATTGGGACTAATTTTGGTTCCAGTTGAGGTACACTTTTTGGTCCAATTTTCTCCAAATTGAAATCCGATTGAACCGTTGGGGTCAGACAGTCAAACTCTACACAACGATATAATTTTTATTAATTATTGACAAACTTTAGAATTTACTTTTTTTTTGGTCCTTCTCTGTAATTAATTAATTATCAATTAATTAATTCTGATAGACCTATTTTCGCGGCGTTACATTTCTCTCCCCCTTAAAATAATTTCGTTCTCGAAATTACCTTAGTCATTGGTTGAAGAGATTCGGATATTGCATTCTCATTGACTCTTCGGTTTCCCATGTTGCCTCTTCAGTCGAGTGATTCCTCCATAGCACTTTGACTAAGGGTACAGATTTGTTTCTCAATTGTTTGACCTCTCGTGCTAAAATTTGTACAGGTTCCTCCTCATAAGTCAATTGTTCGTCAAGAGTTACACTTCCCTCAGTCAAGATATGTGATGGATCGGAACGGTATCTTTTCAACATCGATACATGGAATACGTCATGGATTTTGTTCAGTTCTGGTGGAAGTTCTAACCGATATGCTACTGGACCCACACGTTCAGTGATTCGATAGGGTCCAATATATCTCGGACTTAGTTTTCCCTTCTTACCGAATTGTAACACTTTCTTCCACGGTGAGACCTTCAGAAACACCTTGTCATCAACATTGTATTCGATTTCACGACGTTTCAAGTCGGCATATGATTTTTGACGATCAGAAGCCACTTGCAGTCTTTCTCTGATTAGACTAACCTTTTCTTCAGTTTCGCGGACGAGATCAGGTCCTTCAAGTCTTTGCTCACTTAATTCTGTCCAGCATACTGGGGTTCTACAACGTCTCCCATACAAGGCTTCGTACGGGGCCATTTGGATACTCGCTTGATAACTGTTGTTATAAGCGAACTCCATTAGCGGTATGTATTGTTCCCAGTTGCTTCCAAAATCAATTACACATGCTCTCATCATATCTTCAAGAATTTGAATTGTCCTTTCAGATTGTCCGTCTGTTTGAGGATGAAATGCTGTACTAAAGTTGAGTTTAGTACCTAGAGCCTTTTGCAAACTCTTCCAGAATTGTGACGTGAATCGTGGGTCACGATCAGAAATGATTGACAAGGGCACACCATGTAATCTTACGATCTCACGGATGTACAATTCTGCCAATTTCTTCAAGGACATATCACGTCGAATTGGGATAAAATGAGATGATTTGGTTAATCGATCAACGATTACCCAAACAGCGTCATTCTTCTTGGCCGATAATGGAAGTCCGATCACGAAGTCCATCGTAATTCATTCCTACTTCCATTCAGGGATGGTAGGTGAATGTAACAATCCACTTGGCACTTGGTGTTCGGCTTTGACTTGTTGACATGTCAGACATCGTGTTGTAAATTCAGAAATTTCTCGCTTCATTGTGGGCCACCAGTAAGTCTTCCTTAGATCTTGGAACATTTTATTACTGCCAGGATGCATGGTATACGTGGTTTCATGAGATTCACGCATTAATCGTTCCCTCACTTGACCACTAGGAACTACCAAACGATTCCGGTAGAATAAAATTCCATCGTTTACAGTGAAATCTTGTCTCTCCCCCTTGGAGACAAGTTTACAAGTCTTCAAACAATAGTCATCACGTTTTTGTGCAACGTGAATTTCGTTCTCAAGAGTAGGCTGAATTCGGAGTTCGGCTATCATCTTTCGGCTCAATGCGTCAGCAACTACGTTAGCCTTGCCAGGGTGATAGTCGATGTAACAGTTGTAGTCTTTGATGAATTCCAACCATCTTCTTTGTCTCAAGTTTAACTCTTTTTGAGTTAGCAAGTATTTCAGACTTTTGTGGTCTGTGTGAATATATGTCGTTTCTCCAAAGAGATAATGACGCCATATCTTCAGAGCAAATACAACTGCTGCTAACTCAAGATCGTGAGTAGGATAGTTACGCTCGTGAGGTTTTAACTGCCTTGATGCGTATGCCACGACCTTTCCGTCTTGCATAAGTACACATCCCAAGCCATTATGAGATGCGTCACTAAAGATTGTGTAGTCTACACCTGGTACCGGTTGTGTCAGTACAGGTGCTTCTGTCAAACATTTCTTTAGTTTCTCAAAGCTTTGCTGACATGCATCGGTCCATACGAATTTCACATTCTTTCTGAGAAGTTTGTTAAGTGGAGTTGCGATCGAGGAAAAGCCTTCAACAAATCGTCGATAGTATCCAGCTAATCCTAGAAAGCTTCTCACTTCACGAACATTCCT